CCAGGAGCAGGTGATGGGTTGGCAATTCCTGTGGCCATGACAAACAAAAAAGGTGTATGGGGCTATCAAGAGCTGAGGACCAAACCCCATGTGGTAATATCCAGATGTTGCATAATATTGTTAAAAGGAAAAAATACAGGGCAGTAGAAAAAAACTCAGATTAGTTTACATGTCTTGATGTCCAGAAATTTCACACTCATCACTTGCTTGAAAAGAACAAAAATTAGCATTCAGTAAATATGGAGTCACCTTGCACACTGGCAACTGCTAAAAGCAATCAGATTTTCCAAAGGATCTCTGACAGGAGATAAGTTAAGCACTGCAATGCTGCTTACTCATACACTTGCCCCCCCTGCAGTTTACTCTCAACACAGAAACCAGGATTCTATGAGAACCTAAGTGAGATTCTGTTTCTTCTCTGCCTAGAGCCCTTCAGTAGCTCCCCTCTCACCCAGAGTAAAAGCTCTAGTCCTTACAATAGCTTTCAGGCCTTAAGTGTTATGGGGCCTTCCACCTCCACCCTATTAGCTCATCTCCAACTTCTTTCCCCCGGCTAACTCTACTCCACCCACATAGGCCTCCCAGCTGTTAGTCTGAGAGGCCAGACATCAGCCCACCTAGGAGCCCGTGAGTCTTCCCCACATATCTGCATAGCTCACCACAAAGCTCACTCTGCTCAAATATCACCTCAGGGAGGCCTTCCCTGACTCCCTATTTAAATAAAAACCTTTTGCCACTGCCTGCCCCAGCTGAGGCATTCCTCATTCCTCTTGACTGTTTAGTTTTCTTCCACAGCACTTGTCAGCTGACTTGTTTTACTTCTGACTTTCCCCACTACATGAAAGCTCCACAGGGCTGACATATTTATGTCTTATGCTGCCCACTGCTACATGGCCCCAATATCTAAAACAGCTTGGCCTACAGAAAGTGTTTCAAAAATAATTATGCGATGAATGAACAAAAAAATCCATCCATTCCTGAATCTATAGGTCCTGTCTCTGTGCTAACAGCTTCCATACCTCTGTCTCCAGCTCCATGTCCAATCCCTAACTGCCCCTTGGATGCCACTCCTTGGATCTCCCAGAGTCATATCAAAACTGGATGTGCCATATCACCTTCTCAAGCTGCCCCTGTCTGGCTTCCCATTTCAGTGATAGGAGCACTATCTCCCTCAGTCTCTCAGATCAGAAAACCCTGTGCCTCATTCTGGTCTCTCTGGCTCCCTTACCTGCATGTCCTGTCTCTTCTGCTTTCAGTTTCTCTGCTCCCACTACAACTGAGGTATAGAATGGGATGTGATTCTCCTGGGGTCATGGGAGACTTTCCTGGGATCATAAGAGAGCCCAACAGAATCATCACTCAGTAATAAAAACATGAACCCCTCCCTTTACACACACACCTACATGTTGACAGAACACTTTTGCAGACATTATGTCACTGATTATTACAATAACCCTGGGCTTGAATCTCATTATGCCCAACGGACAGATGAGAAAACAGGTTCAGATAAATGAAACAATTTGCTTGAGGTCACAGAGTAAGAGGGAGAGCTGGGGACTTGAAAACAGGTCCCAAGACTAAACCGTCAGCAACCTGTATCTCCCTCAGTTTAAAACATTTGAACTAGACAAGCTAACCTCCCTGGCTCTCAGTTTCCTCAACTATAAAATGGGGATAATAGTAGACTCTGGGTCATGGGGTATTTATGAGGATTCAATGAGTTCATTCACATGAGGTGTTTCGAATGACGACTGGCAGTTGTAACATTGAGTAAATGTTAGCTGTCATTATTATTACTATGTTAGGGACTTACAAAATGTTTAAACTCCTAAAATCATTCAGAAAATCTTGTAGGTGTGTGTATTTTTCCTGGAAAGAAAATCCTCAGCTTTTCTCCTATTCTCAAAAAGATTTGTGACCCAAAACTTTTTCAGAAACACTGGGCCAGAAAGAGATCAAGAATACATTCAGTATCAAACACAATCAAAAAGCCTTGCCCCCAACATA